CCATACTCCACTTACCCTCCTCAGTCGTAGCTCGTTCCAAAAAACTATAGGGATTTAAAATGATAATCGAGCGCAAAAAAGATAAGGAAAAAAAAAAGAGAAAAAAAGACAGTAATGAGTGTGGGGGTTATATATAAGGGATTGCTATGTAAATGACTAAGCTCAGTAGAATATTAAGCTGAGCTGCATGATAGTCATGTTGATTTTCAGAATCTCAGTGGGCGATTTAGAGGATTGTTAATTCAAACCCTTGGGGGTCTGACGAGCTGAGACAATAGATTATCAAGCTCTGCCCAGTTTTTGTTATCTGCAGCAAACTTTCGATGACGTCTCGAATAGGTATGCTAAGGGGTTCGAGTTAGCCAGCATTGTGAATAAAGAATAAAGTCACGCTTACATCTTCGAAATCCTCAAACTTCTCCCTGCAGTTCTCGCAGTAGCCAGGGCGAGTTTCCTTCTTTACACCCTCTTTACTTTTTGCCTTTACTCTGGTTTCTTCAACCTCCTTATCTTCAAGAACCATCACTGGTTCCTCGACGCCCAACTTCCTCTTACGATCGTTCAAAACTTTCGCCTCACGGTCTTTTCCACCCGCAATCTTAGCCAAGTCCATCATACGCTGTGAATGTGTAATCCCTTTTCCATTAACATTCCCAATCAAGACATTCCCGGCTACTTTGCGCTTAAGCTCGTACAGCTCCTTGCTAGTTCCCGCACGTTGGCCTGGCTGATCAGCGAGAGAGGAAACCATTTGAGAACGAATAGCTGAGGTGATATTGGAAGGTTGCACACCAGATGCAACAGGCTCTGCGCCAAACTTTGTGGGCTCTCGGCCCTTTTCAGGGTTTGTGGCCGTAAAAGCCATCTCATTATTAGGGTGTGAGTTATCCCGTTTTGCAGATGGTACTTGAAATACATCATCTTTCTCCTCGGTCTTAAAGTTTACTTGATTTGATTTACTGTTGTTAAGAAGACTTTCATTTTTGTTGAATTCGCCGAGCACGGGACGCTTAGCCTTAATTTTAGGCTGTTCCTCGGTCTGCTGTTGTGTCTTTGTAGAAGCCTTTGCCTTAGGCGCAGAAACTGCAGTTTCCTTCTCTTTCGCACGCTCAACTTTGCCAAGGTGTCTTTCTCTCTCTTCCTCCCGCTTCTTGTGAACGGCCTCTTCAATAAATGGACAGCGTCCTCCGCTAACGCTTCGGAATTGCGGCCAGGAGCCCTGCTCTCGACTCTTAACCTTCTGATATTCTCTAACCATAATAGGACGATTGATTGCAAGCAAGTCATGGACATAGAGAAAGGGACCTTTGAAAAAGACCAAATCTTTAGGCACGGCATTAGGATCTCGATCCGTCGGGCCATGAATCTTTTCGTTCCGAAGGACATGTGAGAGGTCGACATTCAGGGCAGGAGCTTGCGCTGCACGATCGTTTTCTCGGCCATAAGAAGTAGCCTGACCAGACTGAGTGTCGAACATGGCATGCATCATTCGCTGAAGCTTTTCCAGTGCCCATATCTTCATCCCATATTCTCGAGCCTTCAGTAATATATCACTTGCCCCACGCCCTGGCTTCCGAGATTCCGCATCACGTGATGTCTCATGAGACCTAGAAACCATAGTATAAGTATTAGTGGTGGGATGACCTCCTCTCAATTCAATATGGCTAACATACTGTCTAGGAACGGCAACCCGTCGGGGTTTGATTTCGCGCTCTAACAGTGATGGATTGATAGTGGCTCCGGGAGTAGATTTGGTAGTAGTTGAGGTTTCAGGAGGGATTGGACGGGATGTTACGACATGGGTAACTTCATTTGAAAAGAACTTTTCCAATTTCTGCAGACGCGTAGGTTAGAAATTGTCAGAGAGGAGTCGCCCAGGGCGAAGCGAGGAGATAACATACTGCTCCAAGGGACTGAATTTGTTTCTGAAATTTAGCAGCAACATCATCTGGTAAACTTTCGAAGTAAAAGACGTAAGAAGGAAACATCCGTCGATAGTGTCGCTGCCACGCGCGTACACTTTCTAAGCTGTTTTGTTGATCTGTAAACGTTTTTGCAACGGCTTTCCTCTGAATCTGTTGATTGTTGTTATTTCCTACGCCATTGTATGCTGGTGGAGTTCCAGCGTTGGTTCTGGTGCGAACAGCCTGTCTCCTTGATGGGTTGACTTTGGAGTCGGCATTGGAATTCCTGACAGGAGTACGCAGTACTTCGACGATTTGTTTCTTTTGTGGGGGTTGTTGGCCGTATGTTGTTTCTCGTTGTGCGGTGCTGAGGGAGCGCTGACGTTTTGCTGCGGCTGCTGTGATGCTTGAATATGGATTTGAGTTGACCTCGTTGGGAAGATTTGAAAGAGGAGCTCGTCGAGACATGGCGGCCGGTGAGGGGGGAATCGATACTTGTGCCATAGAAAGGACAGACAAAGATGCTGTAGGTATTTAAGAGCCGAGTCCGGATGATGTGTTGAAACTCGACCCTAGCCTAGTTGGAGAGAGGGGGCTTTTTTTTTCTCCCTCGTCTGCTTTTTGTGGTCGGGTATCGGGTGTATGTAGATGTGTGGTTGTGGTGGTGGGATGCAACTTGAAAATCGAAAAGCAACGCAGTACACACAGGGCACACACTACTACACTACCAGCATAACAGGATCAGGGGCAGCGATCTGTCTCTAGGCTTGATACAGACAGCAAGTCTGCGATGTGCCAACAAGACGACTGGTTAACTGAGTGGATTTGGGGGGGGGGAAAGGAGGGACGCGAGTGGGTAGAAGGGATAAGTTATATGAGGATTGGGTAGAGGGTTGTGAGTTAAGGAGGGGAGAATGTTGACAAGCGGTTCTGTGAGAAAATTGGAAAGGCTTGGTTGGGTAAATGCACGACCTCTCCTCAGAAATGTATGTACACGAAAAACGTACACAAGTCCATGTACCATGGAGGTTCACAACGCGCTGGTTGGCGGGGTGAATGGTTGTGTTTTGGCCTGGCCGTAAATTGATGTTTGTTTAGGCAACACGTTCCTCTGTTTAGGATCGAATATAAAGTCTGTCAAAGATCTCCTTAGAATTACAATGATATAACTTTCGCACGTCGCATAGAACAAAAGTGTCTTTCATTATTTGAGCAGGCGCATATTCTCAGGATGACTCTTAATTATGAAATCAGATATTCTAGAAAAAGGAATCTTAACATTAACGCCTACTCACGTGACCTTCAATGAATGGAAAGGAAGTTCCAAGGATTGCACCGCGCCCCTTGCAAGTTACACCACCACCACCACCACCACCGGCACCATTTTCCGCGTCAACGGCGAATTTTAAGAACCTTAGGGAGTATCTAACGTAGTGGACCGTTTCCTTATCCTAAGTATCAGTTTCAAGTTTCAAGTTCACACTTTTAGATCTGTCTAAGCATCCATCTGATGTTTCGAGAAAGATGCTTCAACCTGAAACCAGGGCTCCGAAGCCACGCGAGCCCGACTTAGTAGCAACTAGTAGAGATTTAAGGTTTGGGATGAACCCAACATCCTCAGGAAATCCACTTATCTCGCCCCCAGAGTTGAGCGCCACCCTTTGGGACTAGATCACATCTCAGTGCGAAATAGGCTACTAATCTTGGAGATCGTCCGGGGAAGCGGTCATGATGTCAATGATCGAAATTAAGCTCCCCAAAATTTGATGACCTCATGCGCCAAGCACTCGGGCCCGTGTCTATCTATCCACCCCCGCCACACCGACTCAAATACTTAGCAGTACTTGCGGATAAGATAAACCTGCGATGACTCTCAACCTCTGCTCTGATTATAAAAACAGTGAGTAGTATTACCGATAATTCCAAATAAGAATCGAAAAAAAGAAAAAACCTCGAATTCCAAATTCTCTATATATGCCCTTCTCGTTTCCAAGCCTCGTCACTGCCTCTTCTCGTATATTGCTTTCCTCAGCTCGTACTACAGCAGCCGTTGTCAGACGACCCTTTGTCGCGCCCACAACTAGAAGAACTATAAAGTTCCTGCCATTGATCTCTCTCCCTTTCATGGGATCGTTCCTCAGCACTTCCACCAGCAACAACATGTCTTACCCAGTCCAAAAATCCAACGAAGAGTGGCAGGCAGTCTTGTCTCCAGGTACAATCCCCACCGCCCCCACATTCATATTACAAAACTTAAATCCCCAGTGGTAGCATGAGTAGAGCTCAACAAACTAACACTCCCTAGAACAATTCAGAATTCTCCGCGAAAAGGGCACTGAACGCCCTGGCACCAGTGAATACGACAAGCACTCCCAACCCGGCGTCTACAACTGCGCTGGTTGCGATGCCCCCCTATACAAATCAACCACCAAATTCAGCTCCGGCTGTGGATGGCCCGCTTTCTACGAGGGGATTCCCGGAGCTATTGAGCGGCACGAGGACCGAGCGTTCGGTATGTCTAGGATTGAGATTGTGTGTAAGAATTGTGGCGGACATTTAGGGTAGGTTTCGTTTGGGGGCGTGTGGACTAGACAGTTAGGCTAATGGAGGAATAGACATGTGTTTAAGGGAGAGGGGTATAAGACTCCTACGGATGAGAGGCATTGCGTTAATAGCGTGAGTTTGAAGTTCAACGAACCAGCAGAGGGCAACTAGAGTATAATCAGGCCCTGGGTACTTTGTTGCTCTTTCTGTCATTACGAACGAGTGATGGGTGGTGGATACATGTAGCTGGTTAGGATACGGTGCATACATGTGGCCAATGATGGTGCTGTAGCATTGGACCAAAATGCACATTCCAACAAGTACATACATACTATTTATGTGATTCGACAACGGAAAACTGCATATGCCCCAGCCCGCGATATGTACTCTAGAGATGAGCAGTTGCAGAATCCCTTGTGCGCGTCTACCCGCAGTAAATACGATATCATTTCCCAGATAAAAGATTCTCGCATGTGATTCCCAAGAAAAGTACTGAATTCCAACGAAGCATTTTATCTACCTATCTATCCTCTACTAAAATCCTTGCTTCTCTTAATTCCTATCCAACGTTTTATGTAATTTGTGCTCCCTCATCCACGCAGCGCACACCATCGCCAATATTCCCATCCCCAGACTCGCATAAAACACGGCATGCAGGGCGTCCATATAAGCCCCCCTGACCCTGCCCACATACTCGCCCGGTATGCTATCAATCGCGTCGAACCTCTCCCTCACCTGTCCAATAACCCTCCTCGCTTCCTCACCGTCGCCCAAGTACGCCACCAGCCTCCTCTTCAACACATTCTGGAAAATTGCGCTGCCGACTGTGGCGCCGATCGTGCTGCCCGTGGAGCGGAACGCATAGCTGGCAGATGTTATCACGGCTTGATCCTTCCGACCAACAGCGGCGATCAGCGCTAGCAGCGTTACAGTGAGGACACCGCCATAACCACACCCGAAGACAAAGAAATTGAAGAATTGCGGGAAGAGAGGGGTATTAAGATTGAATGTGCAGATTGCAGCGACGCCGGAGTTGTACACGAACATGGCGAGGAGCCCGAGCTTGTAGTAATGGCCTGAGCGGTTCATGGCAATGCCCGTACTAAGAGAGCCGACGGAGATTCCGGCGGCGAAAGGTGTCAGGCGAAGACCAGCGTCGGTTGAGGACTGGCCGCGCACCATAAAGTAGATTGGGCAGTAGAAGTACTAACTATGTTAGTAGTGAAGAACGCAAATTAGGAGTCTAGCAAGGATAAATACCAAAGAGAATACACTCATAACCATGAACCAGTTCGTCATGCAGGCCGCCAATACTGTGCGATCACCCAAGAGACCTACGGGGATGATGGGCTCCTGTGCCACGTTCTTCTCGATATAGCCAAATGCGAACAGAAACACCACACTGAGTGGGAGGCAGACCAAGATGAGCGGATGGGTCCATGGAAGCATATTCCCGCCAGTATTAAGCGCAATCAACAGCAGTACCAGTGACATTACAAGTGTGAGTGCACCTGCATAGTCGATTCGCCTGTGGCGTGCGATATTTGACTTCTTTATCGGAATCCTCACAAACATGGCGACCATAATCGTAGACACGATAATAAAGGGCACCTATTCCTTCTATCAGAATCGCACAAGTCCCCGATCGATCATGTGTGTCTTTACCTGAATCAAGAACGCCCATCTCCAGCCAATACGATCATGGATGAAACCACCAAATACACCTCCCAGAGCTGCGCCTGCGCCGTAGGATAAATTGCCTCCTCCCTGGACAATTCCTCTCTTCCTTAATGGTACCAGATCCGTAGCAACAATCGAGGAGATCGTGGTCATGCCTCCTCCGCCAGCACCAGCAATCACTCGTCCCGCGATCATGGTGTACTCATTCTTTGCAAGGCCGCACATCAGCGTACCAGCCGCGAACAGAATATTGCAGATCACGAGCCCATAACGACGACCGTAAATGTCCGTGAGCCTGCCAAATAATGGCTGCAGAGCAGCATTGGAGATGAGGTACGCACTCGCAACCCATGATATCGACGCGAACGATGAAAAGGAGCTTGAGATTGGTGCGAGAAGTGTGGAAATGACGGTGGTATCGATTGCTGCGAGGAATACACCACCCTATGGGATATATTGCTATTAGGTACATTGTATTCTACCAATGAATTATAGATATTTATGCGGTCAACTTACCCACACTGCCAGCATCACAACCGTCAATTTTGCCAACGACAATTCCTTCGGAAGGTCTGCATCATCATCCTTCAAAGGCTCTGCATCCCCACAACCATTATTACCCGCAACGCGCTCTGCAGCATTATCGGCAGCTACTGGAGCACCCCCGAGCAGTGGTGATGTCTCGTCCAGCGGGTCTTTCGATTGTGTATTTCCAGACATCTTGCGAGGCCGAATGTGCAAGATTACAAGAGCTGGAATAATTGTCAACACAGGCACTGGACACTGTGGATAAGTATATCAAGAAGAGCTGAAGTGAGAGTGAGTTGTCATGACTGCAGGACTCAGATTTGTAATTCCGTCCGGTCTGGTTAGCTGGCAATCAGCACTGCTTCCGGCATGACGTTCCGATCCTGAATACACATTAGGCTGGGGCTGCTTGCCGCTGCCGTCCCACACCCACACCTTTCCCTGGGATGAGCGCGGTTGGCACCTGCTGGCCCCTGCATTGATCGATTGCGATTGATAGTCGATTCCTTATCTGCGATAGCGCAGTAGGTACATCATTGAATTATTAAATTTAGCGAAAGTGGCAGGAGTTGGTTTTTACTAGGCAGTCCCACAATTCTCAGGATACAAACAACATCTTCAAAAGTACATCATACAGAGTAGAAGCAATTCAGGTGGTAGGATTTCTATCCCAAAGATGTCACCAACCAAAGCCAATTTCAGATATTTCTGACCAATTGCCCAAGTCTTACATGAGTACGTGTGTCACTAAGACAATATGATCGATCACCACTCCCGGCCCGTACCGTTGGTTATAGGTTCATATTACTTTTTGATTCATACTACTTTTTGATTCATACGATACTGTATATATATTATATATGCTTCGAATGATTCAATTGTAGAGGTACATGTAGATCTCTATGTTTCGGATACATATGCCGTCAGCTTAATAAGAATAATTGTGCAATTTCTCACCCACCCTCAAACCATTCAAGGTATATATAATTAAGGCTTCTGAATAGTAGATACATGTATGATGTATCTATTTTTATCTTCAATCCCCATACCTTGTAATATACAGTTGAGTCCCAAGCAGGTTGCCTTATCGTCCTTGAGTACGATATTGGCCCAAATAACTGGTGAGATCATTGTAATGTCAATACTTCAGCAAATTTTTCTAATAAAAACCAGGCACTGTAGCTAGATAATCACCATTTGTTGTGTGCTATGATCAAGAATTTTCTGATTCTGACCGGAGCCCTATAATGTTAAAGATATTTGTATTATAATAGCGCAACACAGATCACTCGGTAGGAAATTATCGGGAATAGCGGTATACCGCATATAAGTATGTCCATATCTATACCCCCATGAAGAAACAGTAACATTGTACGCATATATATAGTACATCCCAGAAGCTATGTGTTTGGAGTGTGAGTCGAAATAATGCAGCACCGCACTTCTCCCCTACATACCTTCACAGTGCATATACCTACACGATGCGTCATCTTATATAATGTGGTCTTTAAAGTGAGATTCTGATTTGGTAGTGAGATTCTATCTTCCCTCCTTTCATGATTTCATTATATAAACTATTTGAAAGAGTTAGGCGATCTGCTTCCAGATGTTTCAAACGTTCCATGAATCCCTAAAGGCATCCAGCGTCACGGAAACAAGCCAACGTACCCACCGTCATTTTACGAAGCTTTATATATCCCCTGTTATTACATGGAGTATAAAAATCATCTATTAGTATATTTCCGGTTATCATGTTCCAGTGGGCAGCAAACACGGATGCTTACTGCAACAATCACAGTGTAGTTGTACATCTAAATATCGATAAATAAAGTACATGTGATCTCGCATAGTGCTACCAACACTGACAAATTTGCGTTACACATTCTAGGCCTATATTTCTGAAATGAGCACTACGATCATATTGGTATCAACCTCACCTCACTTCTTATGTCACTTTGAGTAAGAACAAGTTACATCTGCTCGCTAATTATTCAGTCAGGAATAGACCAAATTCTTCTAACACTACATAACAATGGCCAGCAATACGATACACATTGTGGTTTTAGACTGTTTCTGCTAAAGTTATAATCACAATTCTCGTTAGGATAAAACAAAGTTAGAGCCGGCTAGCTAAAACGCTCGAATCACCGCCTTTACAAAAGCCCAAGGACGAGGAAGAATGACCCCTCGACCGGCGAGAGCTGATTCGAACATGTAAACCCAATCCTCCCACTCGCACAAAATAAAAACGAATAAAGAAAGAAATTCCAGTTGCTTGGGAAGACAAAACCCGGCATAATGCGGTTGCGTGTTCCCATGAGATGGGGTCTCATTCTCTATCTCAAACCACTCTCCTGTAAAAGCAAATTAGCACAGAACCACCAAAGAGCCAGGATATCTCAGATAACTTACCAAGGCCTTTTATCCTCTGGCTCTTCAATCCTATACTGGTTATCCCCAAAGGGATCATCTGGATCCTCCTCGTCCTGTTCTTCCTCCGGCTCACTCTCATATGCCGGTGACTTCCCCTTTGCCATTCCTGGTCTAGTCGGCATTGATGGCCTATTCTCCTCTCCATCATGCATCCGCATATTACCAAACCCTTGACTAACAGAGTCTACGCTTCTGTCCGGAGGATCGTTCCATCCCTCATCTTCACTGTCCGAGTCCTCCTCAATTGGCTTGTCGAGAACCTCATAAAGTGTCAACGCCTCTACTAATTCTTCATTCGCATGTATCAACCCCCCAAGCCACTGTTCGCTTTCGACATGTTGGATATATCGTAAAATACTTCGTCGCAGTGCCCTACAATCCTCGAAACGCTTCAAAACCTCCGGGTTCCCAGACGGTCGCTCTTTCTCACGGTTGATAAGTTTCAATGCATTTTTCAGATTCGTGGACGCAACAGATGCATTCGCAAGACTCTGTAGCATTGCTGGCTTTTCCTTCTCGAGGTTGAACGGCGGCGTTTTTGACTTGCTCTTTGACGAACTCTTCTTATGGCCCTTTTGCCCCATACCCAAATCCGCGCTCTGTCCGAGTGTGATAGGGGTTGGTTTGGGAGATTTTGGCGAGTTTGGGGTCGCCTTGCGCCCAGTAGAAGAGCTTGGTTCTCTATCGTTGTCTGGGGGTACCTCACTGAGCACCTTGGGTTGTGGTCTGGGCCGTTGGCGCTGTGGGAGCTGTTTATAGAGGCTTGCAATGCTCTGAAGGCCCTGTGTATCCTTGTATGCTACAGCCCATTGTCCGAACACTACCTTCAGTTTTGCTTTAACGTCGGGGTCGGTCATGGAGTCCGTTGCGGCGATGCGGAGACGTTCGAGGAGAGGCTCGTCCGCAAACGAGCGTTGGAAACGAATACCAGCATTACCAATCAGGGCATCGAGGATCTATGGATTATTAGAGAGAGAGAGAGAGAGAGAGAGAGAGAGAGAGAGAGATGGGTGGAGATTGTTTAGTGGGACGGACTGTGAGCGCGCGAAGTTGGCGATGAACGTTTCCATACTTGCTGGAGGGATGTCAGCAAGTCTTCGAATGAATCCACGGATAATGAGTTTCGGCACACACAGCTTCTTTCTAATAGCTCTACTAGCTTCTGTAGGACCCGTGTCTTGGAGTTTTATTGATTCAATAAGCTCCGGGATGCCGCTCATATCGTGCTCATCATATTCTTCCGATGTGAGACGCTCGATGTGAACTGTCACAGCGGAGAACTGTTTTCTCTTCAGGGTTTTACAGATATGTTAGCTTTGATATCCCCAGGGCGGCGGCAAAGAAGTCCAAAGATTTAAATTACAGATGATCCAAACATCGCTGGTAGTAGATGATGGCCGTTTCCTAAAAGAGATCGCTTTCAGGAGCCTTATGCATGATGTTAGCCACTCGCGCATCCTTTACAGCTAGCTATCGGAGGCAGGAACGGGATAGGAAAGGGATCACATACAGGTCACTATGAAGCTGATAAAAGACAAAGGCGTTTTGATCACAAACAGAAGAAGGTGAGGGGGAAAGAGAGCTTTGGCTCGTAGTTTATTACAAGGACCTTTCCAAGGCTATCTCTGCGGGGCTGGTACTATGGCCCCACTGCCGAGTTAAACACCTACATCTAATATCTGTATACGTATTGCCTTGGACTTCCCTCATCCATGGCATCTACCTTGCTGCACATGTCATGCAGTTGGGCATCGAGATGCGACAAAATAAGGACTCCCATGGCTTAGATATTTATCTATCTCTCCGTGGGCAATCGTCACTGTTCATCGAGTCTTGTTCAGAGACCCTGTTATCTAATGACCCCACTTCCGGAAACAGGACTGTGCCTTGTCACGTGGCTATGTTCATCGGCGTTTTGAGGCGGTGCACGGACCAACTGAAGTCGTACCAATGCACTTATGTAACACAGCCAAAGACATTAATTCTTTGTGATACATGACATTAATTGCATAGCAATCTAATGTTTTATGATTTTTTTGAACCCGTAAGTGCTGCAGTCACAATTTAGAAGCTATCTCTGTAGTTGGTTATCTTCAAATTCCTGGCCTGCGTACATATACAGCATGCGCAATGCTAGTGGTATCAGCCAGAGAATCAGAATCCATTACCAGCTCGTATGGTAAGGTGATGACGTCTTCTTCCGGCTTAATCAGTTCACACAATAATTCTAACCTATTATGAGCCTATTGAAAATATCCTTCGAACCCCATTATTTCTTCAATCCATGACTGTGTCTTTTCCGATTTATGCTTCCCATCTATCACTCCAGGTTTCTGTATGAGCAGCTCATCTACGGGACCACATTTAAACGAGAATCAGCCATATCATATAAGCAAGCATCCATCATGATCTGTCTACAGAGTGATCTCCCTTCTCGAACTAGAAAATCACAAAATTCAAATGCCCTTTATTCTTCAAAAGATATTCCTGCAGGCTATGAAGAAATTGGGTATAAATTAAGCCTCTAGTATGGATTTATAGATGAATAGGGATTCCTACTAATGTTTTCTTGGCAGAGATGATGAGGACACCACGCTGAGCCATATGTCTACATCACTTCAGGACCCGGGATGTGTTTATTCTTACAAAAGTCTCAAGGACACTGCCAGGGGCTCCCAATCTGAAAATGCAGAAGTCCCAATGTCAATGCTACCCGCCTCTACCACCCATTTTTTAATGGAACAGAAAGGAAACAGAATAAGCCTACCAAGAGTGATCCTTGCCACGCCTTCCCAGTCTCAAACATACCCGGCCTATGAAAATAGATCTAATGATCCCCTATTGATACAAGATCAAATAGAAGAACTTGGATACAGCACCGTACGGCATGAGACAGTTAACATAAGGGTTGATAATCGGAAATATGTGGGCGAGGCATGCCGGAAAGCACTGGATAAATTCAAATTTAGACCTCAAATAACTAGCTCTGTGAGTGGGTGTGACAACTTGAAAGTTGAAAGTGAGCTTCACAGTCCGAATTTCGTCTCGGAGCTCCTGCCCAAAGCAGAGCCTAAAAATGTTTACACCGGTAATCGAAACTGTACCGAAGAAGATAACAAATTACCTCTCTTTCTGGGTGGGTTAGACTCGGATATGTCTTCAGATTATGGATCTGATAGTGACTTGTTTGAGTTATACCCCATGTTGGGTATGCATCAAGGCTCTCATACATGCCCAAATAATGATGCCCGCATTATGAATAACCATGTGAAGATTGTAGGGGAAGAAGAATTTGGAGATATTGATGACGTCGAAATGTTGGAAGCTATAACTTACTTGGAAAAGCACACCACATCAGAGTTAGTCAAAGACAAGTGGGATAGTGATTCGGATATGGACGGTGCTTCCATTTTCGATGACTATCCCACGACTGAAAATCAAGCTAATAACGAGAAAGAAAATATTCAAAATGGATCTAGGGAGCAATTTCTGCACCTCCATTCACTTCCAGTCACATCTCACAAGCCAGTCACTCAAGAAAAACTATCTACAGATGATAAAATTCAATCTCAAAATCAATCTTTATCTATACCTAATAAAGATTCTCATGTGTCAGAGATCTGCCCATTGGAGGAGCTTCCAACGAGCCCTGAACCAGGGATTGTTATTGAAAATTTCTCTACGCCTTCTGACGTCAAATTTACCCTTAATGATTATTCGCAGGACCAAGAGGTATTTGATCCGGACTTACAAAGATCTACGCCGCCGGAGAATTTTGTGGGAGTAAGTAAATGTTTTCAGAATACTACCAGTGATACCTGTGCCAGCGAGGCCAAAATGAGGGAATCTTGTGAAAATTTAGATATATTAGGTGAAATTAATGATATCGAGGAACTTGTATCCGGGTTGGATACGATCTCTTATGAAGAGAATGAAGAGATACCGGATGGTGCGGTTGGTGTGGTTGGGCCCGAAAACGAGAGTACCAAAGGAAAAGGCGATGAAGATGCGGATGTGGATGTGGTAGGAATAGAGAAAGAGATCGAAATTAAGGGGAATTTAGAAGAAGAAGGTGATGATGAGGATGAGAGTGAGGAAAGTACACTATATATGAGCAAAAAAAGAAAAGCTCAAAGGAAGACCAAGCCGGCAAAAGCTACGCGGGAGCGGAAGCCTCTAAAGAAGAGAAAAGTCCGTGTAGTGGACCCTTCACAGCTGAAACTATCTGACTATATTGGTTTCTCCAAGCCACCTTCTATTAGGCCCAGGTACGATGAAGAAGGGAATCTTAACCCTTTTGTAAGGCCAGCGTTTCTTCCAATGGTCCCTGAAGAACCATGGTACCAGGAATAAGTGCTAGGTTAAGCATAAAGACATGTTTTCGTGTTGGTGAAGCTCTGAAAGTTGGAAGGATGATTGCAAATGGAAACTTCACAGGCGATGTTTTAGTGGAACTCTATGGTACATGATCCCCTATCCTTATGATCATATATGTCTGGAGAAGTTTTATATGCTTAAGAGAAACAATATGTAACAGCTAGGGTCGGCTTCAGTTCATTGATATCTTCCACGAGAAACCGCCCTTCTTGAACGGCTTTTACGAACTAGCAATAGAGCACAGAATCTGGGAGGAAACCACGGCTGTCTTTCTGGGGGGTTCTGGAAAAGGAAAGATGGTAAGGGTAGTAGGGCGTATGCAACAGAAAATTGGAAGTGAAGGCGCTACAACTTTCATCATAAAGATATCGAGCATATCGGAAACGGATTGGGATTCAGTTGACTTGACAAGAGGCATTATTTGTGGGAATGTTACGGGATAAGAGCTCTCTTATCTGTAATTACTTTCAATTGCTTGGATTTACTACTTTACATATTTTCCCTTGCGAATATAGGGTGACGCTCTTTAACATGAAATATCGATCATTTCTCGTGGTTTCCTCCTTTTTACTAAATTCTCACTTGCCTGATAGAAATTAGCAGTAAGACACCAGTACAGTAGCAATATAATCACTGAAGCCCGTATTGCACTTAGAGGATGCCAAGGAGATTTGTTTGCAAAACCTTTACCTAAACCTTTCATCCAGCTCTACTTGCGACTGAAAATATTGTTAAAAATTTAGTAACATCTAGTCTCTTGGCCAAATAAAAAATTTCAACCAACTCAACAACACAACCATATCAACTTGAATTCCCATTGAAGTTTCAAAAAAAGTGATCTGAACAGCAACTTCAACTACATGATAGCTAAAAATTGACAGCATATCATATACGAGTCCGGTGCTTGAGCCAACGACTGGACAAAATGAGAGCTTCGTGCGGGGGTCGAACCCGCGACATTGAGGTGTTCTTCAGGGATAAATTTCTAAATCCCTTAAAAGCCACACGCTCTACCACTGAGCTAACGAAGCGACTTGTTGTTACCGAGTCTAATCAGAACGATCAAAAAAAAGAATTCTCAAACACTCACACCAACTTTCAGGCCAGAGATCCGATTTTAGCTCATTTCAGAACCCCGCACATGCTATATAATGCGTGTGCGTATGTATCTTCCGCGTTATATGTTTGCTAATGTGTACAAAATTGTACTAGTTTTGAAGTAATTAAACAAAAAAAAAAAAAAAAATACTAGTTTTGAAGTTCATATAATCTCACTCGGCTAACGCTATAGCAACGATGAAAGACACTACATGTACATACACAGTTTAGGTTCAATAATGGCACAAGGGCAGATACGTAGTATACAGCTACTACACAGAAATACAGCGGAAATCTCTTCCAATTTTAAATCAATAATTGAGTGTATATCCTACTAAGTACTAATTAGTACGTAGTAATAATAGATTTAAAGGACAATTTCTAAATTAAATGGTGAGAGTACCGACACTTTTATGACACCCATACTTTGAAATTCCTTTAAACTAACACCTACACGGTTAGTGCAATATATTTATGTGTATATTCTATCTTTTGGTCCCTGTATGCTCAATGGGATTCACATCCTTTTCAAGATGATCCGCGTACTAAACTTAGTAGGCCTCGACCTTCCATACCCTGCGCTTTGTCGCTTTTTTCGCTATTATACTTGACTTCTTGGACGACTGCACTTGTTATTTTTAGAAGGGCCTAATACAAAACTTCTTCCTGATTGTGACTGATGCCTTTATCAATATAGTTACGCTCATCGAGAAATTTCTCAACCAAGATATGCAAACATATCAACCCAGAGCTGACTACTTGCGCCGGAGCAGTTGAAAACTCAGCTACAGCTTGAGCTTTGACCATTGATCGAACTCTATTAATACACATAACCCGAGCTGTAGGAGCTTGGGCCTTCTTTATAAATATATACCCCAAACCCAAGATCGAGCTCGATTAATCTGTACCTATTTTACGCAAAATAGCTTTTCCACGTGGAATACTCAAGGAAAGAACCGGAACTTCAACGGCCCAAGGCCGGGGTTGTTTGCAACGAGCGGCTCCATGCAGTCCCCATATGGATTGTTATCCTCTAACTTTCGGATTCTTATTCCTCTAACCGAGAGAATCTAGACCGAATCCTACGGAGATGCTAACTATTATAACTAGCTATATGCACATAGCCACGCTCGCCAGAGAGTAGAATCAACTACCTTGCGAGCTCTGTCCAAATGAGATAAGATTATGCAAGACGATATCAAATTGATCTCGTCTCGTGACGGACTAATATTCCTCAGATCGAGAAGTTCACCAAACCTGCTGAGTACATGATGTGAGAGTCAGAAAAGAGTATTGATAGTCTGACACCGTCAAATCACAGGTATATCCATGGTATGAATCATATCATGCCATCGAATGTTTTCAATAACCCTAAAGAATGTGTGAGGCTGAGGTCTAGTGAGGACCTTCTCAATTCTAGCTCTTATCGAGGACTCTGGTCTATAGATCAGATCTAGAGGTCACGGATAAGCTCTGCAGAAGCTTGAACCTCGATTGTCAATGATATGACAATCAACAATGCATTGGAATGGACCTTGGGACTACTAGAGGAAATGGATTTCTGGTCATAATCTCGATTCCTGAAGTTTACCCATGGCTGCAAGGCGATAGTCGACCCCAATCGGTGGTCTGAGATGACTCTGGCTCTGGAGGCACTACCACTACTTTGTAGTCGGCTTTTGACTAAATCTTCAAGAATTGGTGGTAAGTTACGCGTACGTGGCAAACTTGTTTGATGCCCGATGTCCACAGCCTCGATCAGGTGGATTGGTGTTCTTTGATCACGTACCGCCTCACGCGCTATCATCTAATCGGTGGATAGAATCGATTGATCCAGAGGACCCGTTCGCCTCAAAATAAGCTCAGATGCTGGAATATTCCTGAACTTATTCACCGAGATGTCTTGAATCGCTCAGATCGTGAACTGGCATTACCGGCATTCGTCACTGGAAGGCGCCTGTGGGCGTAACTTTGTCCGTGCTTCATGTAGCTGATGGGACCTTTTTTTCTCGCAATATGGTATGCAGACCCAGTTGTGTTTGAAAACTCCTAGCAGTTACTAGTTAGCAGATATATATGTCCAGGGAAACAAAGGTCCCCGCGGCCCGGATCAAACGGGCCACAAAGGCTTCTGAGCAGAGATCTCGATACTCGAGATACATTGGCCCCTCCCTTTCCCGGGGCCAAGCATTCCGGGAATACTCAACAGCTATATACATGTACATAGATTCCAAAAAGTCTAACTTGTCTCGCGAATTAGCCTTGATCTTCGTACAGCGGGTGTCCGGTTTGATTGGCTAAATACGCACAAACCACCTCACCTCAATTGATCAACCGGTACCGGGTATGGGTCAATTTTTTTCCGGGGACTCCGGAAAATATTTTAGCGAGATCTTAAACTTCGTCCAGTGAAGAAATGCACGGCAATCAGACCAATTGGCAGGCACCCCCATGTTTGAAGAATTTTCAAAGTCGAATACGTCACATATTATCACTCGTCTTACAGATATAACCCCACTTTCTATAGGCTAAACTGGCTTTTTGCTTTTGTGGGGACGTCCTGTGTTCATGACAAATCACTCGCATGTCGGATGGAGGACATGATCTTCAGTGGCCCTACTATCTCATGCTATCAATTACTGCAACATGGATTCTTTCTGTGGCGACAGCCTTTTTCTAGTCAACACAAGCGAAACAGGCTTACTTACCAAATCATGAGGATCCAAAGTGTATGTGCTGATGAGCGTTCCCCATGATCCGGCGGGGACCAGATATCAACCTGTTTATCCACCGACGAGAAAGAAGGGTTCTCATTTCTTTCTCAAAGCGTCCAGAGGCAGCTACGATATATACCTCACGCAAAATCTTGGTTTTTCATTCGTGTCAAAGATTGTTTGGTCGGCTGTACTCCACAATTGTTCCTCTCTTCCAGCTCTACAGCCTACGATGGACGGGACCCATCGATCTGTGCATATGTTCTTAGTTCATTTTTCTGTGCTTTGTTGTTGATGCATAAGCGGATTACCCGGAGTCGTGCGGGAGGGGGCGTTGCTGCTGTGGAGCAAGGGCCTCTTGCCTGAGGCGTGGAGAAGCTATCGCGTACCCCAGGCGTCAGAAAACATCCTTGCATCCGAGTGAGATGTCGTGACTATCAAACGATACGATACCAAACAATTCAACCGATCCGCACTCATATCACGGGGAGCCATTTGGGATGCAAACATCTTTCGCCTCAAAATACAGATACTCCACTCAAGCCGCGGTGCGAAGTCCTCATTGGATGATCTATTACCAAACGGGCTTAATTTCCCCCAGGTTTTCTTCCATGCTCTCTCTTTCTCTAGAGCTCTCTCTCGTGCTCTACCTACTAGGGTAGCTCTGGGTAAATACTATCCATCCGTCCATCGACAGCTCCATCTCGGACAGGTTATGGGGAGTTACACATATCTCACCGCGCGGGAAGGGGGACCTACCTATGCCATTCATCGCCTCACGATGTAATGTAGGTCCATTGGACGTTGTTTCTGATGATCTGCTCTGTAGCTATATGTAGCCAAAATTATACAGCACTACTAGATAGTCCGCAAGGCAACCACGGGTCCACGATGGATGGCATCGCACAGAGAACAGAGCTAGCCGCCTCATCACGTCGAATGTTTGAGTGATCCTTTTTAGCTATAGGCCCACGGAGCAAGCAGACGGGCTGGAAACAAATCTTCCCCATTTCCGTTCCCCGCCCCTTCATCTTACAGGTCTGGGAAGGAGGAGCAGGAGGAGAAGGAGGAGGAGTCACCGTCATTTCGCCAGCCTTACTCACTCAGTCACCGTCGTGTCGTTCGTTGCTATTGTTGTTTTTGTTGTTGGCGATGATGTATGTA